TATTTAGTTAAATAGTTAAGATAAAGCTGAAGGGTCGTGCTATAAAAGAAAGTGGACCAAGGGTGGTTGGGAGCAGGGGCAAGAGGGAGTGTACTGATGGTAAAATAAAATTGGGCTTGCTTGTAGAGGAAAGTCACCATACAAAGAAAATCAAAGGAAAATCAAATAATTTTTTTAGAAGCAAACCAGCATTTAGGTAGATAGGTAAGAATGAGTAGTGGATATTGTAGAGTGGAGATGAGTGTGTGATTGTGTTGCATTTTGTGTAACATCGGAGTATTGTACGCAGCACTGGAGACCATATCTCCAGAAGGATATTGATACTTTGGAGAGAGTTCACAGAAGGGCTACTAAACTGGTTCATGGATTGCAGGAAAAAACTTACAAGGAAAGGTTAAAGGATCTTAACATGTATAGCTTGGAGGAAAAACCAAGACAGGGGTGCTAGGACTAAACATTTAAATACATAATAGGAATCAACACAGTAAAGGAGGAGACTATATTTAAAAGGAGGAAAACTACCAAAACAAGAGGACATAGTCTTAAATTAGAGGGGTAAAGGTTTAAAAATAATATCAGGAAGTATTAATTTACAGAGAGGGTAGTGCACGCATAAAAAAAGCTTTCCGGCTAAAGTGGTTGAGGTGAACACAGTGAGCGAGTTTAAGCATGTGTGGGATAGGCATAAGGCTCTCCTAGACTTACGATAAGGCCAGGGACTAATGAGAGTATTTAGAAAATTGGGCAGACTAGATGGGTTGAATCTGTCGTCACATTCTATGTAGCCATGTTTCTATTCGATGGTATACTAAAAATCATTTTGGCAAACATATTATAGCACCCTAAAAATGAATAACGCATATGCAAATGTAAGAAATAGCTAGGAGAAGTATACTAACCATTGTAAAAAAATTGCAGGATGCACAAAACAATGTGGAAATTAAATCTTGATTGAAGTGTATCATAATTGCATGCAGAATATGTTGCAAAATTTGGACTTGTTTGCAGAGGGAAGCCAAAGTGTTTATAGTGCATTTGTTGTTGTGCATTTTAGATTTAGATATTGTCCATTTGTTGTTGAAATGCATTATTATGTTGTTATGGTAAGGAAAATAAATGACTTGTAAAAGTCTTTACAGATGTGTACGTTACTCAGTGAAATTAATGCTGCTGTCAAGGGCATGTGTTGCCGTGTACAGCAAAGCAAAGGGACAGAGCCAGTGTTACAGAACTATGCCTTCTTACTGCAGGCTTTACATATGCAGAATAAAGAAAGGAAGATTTAAATGTGTTGGGACTAAATAATTAAACCTTGTGGAATTGGGAAAAACAATAATTTGGTTTGAAATGCTTTTGATCCCAGATAAGGAAGACATCACACAAAATCAAAGTCAGAAGACTGCTCAGGAAATTCTATAACCACCATAAGACACCAAACATACTAACCAGTCAAATTCTTGACAATTAGTAAATTAGGAATTATGTAAAGTGACTCATTCTTAAATTTGCAAAGATTTAAAATTTCCAAAAATAAGTAACTAAATTCAAATTTTTTACCAGTTTTGTATTAAAACACAATGGAACTGTTGTTTACCAGGATTTTTAATACTATGTTTCCTAATCCTATATTAAACCAAGTTTATTTGTGAGCCTGGGTGTCCCCTTCTTGACTCCATGTTATTCCTGGTTATAAGCTCTGCTCTTTTCTCCTGTCCGTCAGCATTGTGTGCACATAAAGACAAATAAGACAATGCTTCTATTCCTCTTCGTCATTTGCAGTGTTTGTCCCAGTGTTGTCTGAACTGGGTCATGATGTAAATTGCTAAATCTTTCATATAAATTTATAATAAAACTAAATATCTTGTAAAAAAGGCCAATGCAAGTTAAGCGATTTTCAAGGTTTTATTTAATGGTGTAACTTCCCGAGAAAAGACAGTACCCTTTATTGACTGAAATTTAGTCAGTTTCAGAGTGTTTGACTGTTGAATAATTCATATTTAATATGTGAGTTGGGTTGAGCCAATGTGAGTTGTTCAGGAGTTCCAGCTGTGCAATTTCAAACTAATTATTCAAACTATTCAAATAGCATATTAATAGTATTTAAACTGAGAGTTTCAAATTATTTTGGCATAATTGTCCAACTCTTGTGAAAAGTTGTCTGTCTGTCCTCCCTAATACAATGTAAAGAGTTTCCTAATATAATAATATTGCTATGCCATGTACATAAAATGTGTGAATGCTTGAGCAATTTCAGTGTTAATGCACAAATGCCAAGTTCAGAAAAAAATGTATTAAGTTTTCCTTAACATGATATTTGGAAAAATGAAAATGGCTTTTAGTCCCTGTATTTCCAGTTCTAGGCTAACTTTCAAATACTGTCTGCAGTTTATATGCTTGTAGCCTTGAGCAAGTTTTGACATTCTTATTGCATGACATGAATTTCATTCACTTGTTCCTACCTAAGCGTATAAAGTAAAGGAAAATATGATAAAGTATATGTATCAAAAATTGATAACATAGAAAATTGGGTTTAAAAAAGTTTAACAACATTCTATAGTACGCAACTAGTATATAGTATACATTTTTTTTGTATATATGAAAGGGATTTTAAACTAGTTGCACCTCTTTTCATGTCATTAATATCAAATATATTGACCACTACAATACTAATCTTTTTTTTTATAACTATTTACATATTGGAATATTAACAGGATAATCCCCTGCCAAAATAGAAAATAAATAAAAATCATTGTTTAGTAGGTATACCCCAAATGTAAACTTGTGTGTATTAAATTATGATTTTATTTATTTTTATTGGGGGTATATCTAAAAACAGTTTGTAAAACCTCCATATATTTTGTCTGCTACATTTGTTAGCCCTCCCATTCTAACTCCGCCCAGACTTTATGTGGTTGTCCAATCACAAGCTTCCCAATGCAGCTCAGTGAGAAGTCTTTGCAGGTGTTCTGGGCAATTGCTGCCTCTTGAGTTTAGCTCCACTGAGCTAACCAAACTGGGAAGTTACAGGTCCTATTGTCTGCTTGAAAGCCAGAGCGGTGTAACCAGGTTAGTTTATAAAAGTATCAATTTCTCTTGAAATCTGCACTTTTTGTAAAATGAAAAAAAAAACAAGACAAGATACAGCTTGTGTTTTGTTCTGGAGTGTCCCTTAAACTAGTTTTGGTATATAACTTTGGTTACCCTTTCTCCATCAACATAGTGACATTTTAAGCAAACCAATAATGATCTCCTGAAAACAAAAATTATTCAATAAAAACTTGCTTTACATGTCTATTTCATTACATGAAAGCATCACGTATTTCAGAAGTTTATCATCTATATCAGATGTTACGAAATTCTTAACCTATTTTAATGAGTCCCCAGTGCGAATAATTGACACGTTAAATTCATCAGGCCACAGCCAGCCGCTAAGTTCTGCTAAGTTTTATCCCTCCCTCTGCTAAATTAACCTTACTCACACATAATAGGCTGCTGCAGGCTCTACCAGGAAAATAACAGAGCAGGAGATAAAAGTCTAAATTAAATACACTGTGCAACATGGGAAGTTTCAAAATTGGACCTCTTTTTCAGGAAGTGTGTGGAGGGAGGCTGCTTGAGTCAAAGTCAAGGAAGGTGCATAAATAAAGTTATTTATGTCCTAAATGGTAGAGAACTGAGTAGTGAGACTACAGGGGCATGATCACAAATGCTTTGTTAACCTAAAGTTCTTTTGGCTCTTAAAGTGTCCATTTAGGAGTTATGCAGCATCTGGTCATATAAGTGGCTGTTGCCACACTAATATCCTCATTATTAGGTCAACACTGAAAGCGTTAATACAGCTTTCCTTTTGATTTCCAAACCTTTGACAATGAAAACCTCACTATAAAGTGTAAATACGTTTCACACAAGCCTTTATCTCATGCAAAACTATGGTTATTTAATACATACAGTGAGTACTGCGAACTATCAACTGAGTATTGATAAAATATTGATAAATGCAAGGAGTTTTAAAAACACGTTTGCAACAAAAGAGGGTTTGAAAAGTTGCTTTTTATCTGCAAGATTTGAAATTGAAAAAAAATATACAAAATAAAATGAATTGACTGTAGATCTAACTGGCAACATAATCTGCACTGTGAAAGCATATACATTAAGACAATGTGAAGACTATGTGTTCAGCTGTTCATTGGTACTTACACCAGGTGGATTTGAGGACATTTTATTGCAATAAAGTAGAAAGATTATCAAAACATGAAAAATGAGTGTGCAGTTAATATAGGGGGTGGGAGCTGTTCTTCAGCACTGAATTACTACTGAAAGACAGCAGAGCAGCAGATCTGCTTCCCAGCATCTCTAAGCTCATTGCCTCAGATCATTCCTTCCTAATGCAGCCACAAGGTATCTGTACGCAGAGAACAATACGCATAGCCAGCACTGAAGACAGTCATTAAGGTACGGATAGTAATATTACCTCTTTTATTAATTAACCACCTGCATGGAAACAGTTAAAGCAACAACAATAAAAAAAAGAAAATTACCGTTTCGATTAGCTTCTTTTTAATAGTCTTTAGTTTAACAAATAGCATACTTTTCACAATGTGTTTTGTTGTATGTATCACCTTTAGGTATTACATGCATTATTTTTGCACTCAAAGGGTTACCTCTGAGTAGCAGAGTGCACTGGGAAAGTAAACCATATATTGAAATAAGTGTTGGAGCCTCAAGAGTTATAGATAAACATAATGCACTAACATAATCTTAGTATAAGAGGCTTAAAGTATCAGTTTATATATTTGTGAACATTTTATTGTGTTTCATTTAGGAGGATGCTTCTTACTGAACCAAATTCAGGCACGTAGACTGGGTATATAAAAATGTGAAATGTTTTTAATATGCTTAATTTATTATACATATTGCATTCAATTACTTTTCAACTTGGATTTTTCTCCCAAACTGTATCTTGATGATGACCTTGTTTTTGTGTTTTTCCACCATGGAAGATGGAGAACATATCGATGACATTGCTCTCAAATTCATCCAGGAGACCAGAGTGGTTCAATGGATCAATGCCCCAGATCATCCCAAACTTCTACCTGGCTTTACCCATCATCTATTCCATAATCTGTGCAGTTGGACTAACTGGAAATACTGCTGTGATTTACGTCATTCTCAAGGCACCAAAAATGAAGTCTGTGACCAATATGTTTATCCTGAACTTGGCTATTGCAGATGAACTATTCACATTGGTATTACCAATTAATATTGTTGATTACTTGCTCCTACAGTGGCCCTTTGGAGAGTTTATGTGTAAGCTGATTATTTCCATTGACGAGTACAATACTTTCTCCAGCTTATATTTTTTAACAGTTATGAGTATTGATAGATATCTTGTGGTTGTTGCAACAGTGGAGTCCAAAAAACTAACCTTCCGTACGTACAGAGCCGCACAAATTGTAAGCCTATGTGTCTGGATTTTTGTTACTATCATAATATTGCCTTTTATTATTTTCGCCAAGATTCATAAAGACCAGGGTCGTTTACAATGTGTCTTTGTGTTCCCCAACCCAGAGAGCATGTGGTGGCAAATGAGTCGAATCTATACTCTGATAATGGGGTTTGCCATACCTGTGTCTACTATATGCATACTCTATACCATGATGCTTTACAAGCTAAGAAAAATGCGTTTAAACACACATGCAAAAGCTTTAGACAAAGCTAAGAAGAAGGTGACTTTTATGGTTGTGATAATTCTTGCTGTGTGTCTGTTTTGCTGGACTCCGTATCATCTCAGCACGGTTGTGGCTCTAACCACAGACATCCCCCAGACTCCCTTAGTTATTGGAATTTCTTTATTTATTACCAGTTTGAGTTATGCAAACAGTTGCCTCAATCCATTTCTATATGCATTTTTAGATGATAATTTTAGAAAGAGCTTTAGAAAATTAGTAGAGTGCAGATCATCCCCCTGAAGAACAAACTCACCCTGAGTCTGTTCATTATAAATTTAAATGAAGTGGAATAAATATGATGTCTGCTTATGTTAGCACCACAAAATTACATCATAATATGTTTCATTTATGTGACCAAATACGAATGTAACTCATGTAGTCTCTCATGTATGAAGGGGCACAGTCATCTCATAATTTTAATGATATGCTTTTAAATTAAATGGTTATGTCATGATTGAGATCTAATGCAAAACTGTCATTTTCTAAAGCTGTATTATCATAAATCAGACTCTGATTATGGGACTATGGGGCTTAACTAAATATTGCACAACATATTTCTTATTGTTGATAATTTAACATTCTATTAAACGGGCTGTTAATAAATGCATTGAATGGTGTATATATATAAAAAAAAATCAACATATTTCTGTTTACAAGATTATTGATACTCTGCATATATTAGAAATGAATTTAAATTGTATAACCAAATAAAATGTTTTGGAGTGCCTTGCTTAATCCAGATAATGTAGATTTTTAATTTTAAAATATATAAATTGAAAGCTTAACTAGTATCTTTACACAAATTTCAGACATACTTTTCAAAAGTTCAGCACAAACACAGTCCATGTAGAAAAACAAACAACACAAACAATTAATTCAAACATTTACATCACGATATTTGTATCTGTAAATTAAATAAAGCACTTCAATAATGCAAAATTGATTATGTGATCTGATGAAAGTCTTTAGTCTAACATAAATATAAGTTACATTTTAATGTAAATAATGTGCTTTTGTTTCTAAAACTGAAACAGTTTTTTTTTTTTTTTTAAATATGCAATAAACCCATAACATGTATCCAGCACTTTGCCTTATTACGAACTATGCATGATATTCCTTGAGGGCGCTGTAAATAAAAACTAGACTTCAGGAGAGAATGCGTGTTTTAGTTCACGAGTAGATCTTTGTCGCCATCTACAGTACACAGCATCAATTGCAGCAGAAATTTATACTAAATCTGGGATCAGTTGAGCATTTGTCCTGAATAATTAATTTCAGTTATAATTTATTCAATATGTTTTGGGACAAATATTTGCAATACAATTAAATCAGAGGATTTTAATATCATCTCTCATGTGTTATTTATTACATAGTATTTTTACTTTTTTTTGTTTTTTGCTTCATATAGTTATGGTATTTCACCTAATAACTGTTGCACAATTAGATTGAATAATTTAGTAAATATTACTTTTGAGCTGCTGATAGAAACATTTAATAATACTATAAACACTAATTGCATCAGGTTTACTGTTGCATACAATTCTTTTGAATATTTGCACTAAAGAATCAATTAAATTGAATATCCCCAAATTTGGTGCTATGTCCAAGTCTTAAGTCAGGTAATTGGAAGTCTTTAAAATAGTAAACTTTTAAATTATCTGAAGATCTCAATAAAACTAAGCAGCAATCCACCTGCTATCTGTGTTTGCTAGCTTAATATTTTAGTTGCTTGAATGTTTATCAATTAGTACATGGTTGACTATGCTCCCCATTAATATAATCAATGGAAATTGCATTATAAGTGACCCCCTAGAAAATAAATGGTTTAATCACAATGTTACTGTAATTACATAATTAGTATTTTGGAATCCAGTTTTTTACCTGGCATTAAAAACATTTACAATAACTGTACATTAAGAGCACTAACTGGTAAACAATGAACCCATTAGTAAATAGACACTTCTGCCTAAAATCCATATGTTTTCTATCAGTGTTTTGTGTTTTAAACATGTATTTGGTAGACTTTACTTGATCCCATCTAGTCCTTACGGAGACAGAAATTTGTCTTTATAACATGTATGAAGCATAGTAAGAGACCCAGATGTTAGGTCATATGATGACTGAAGTCACTTGCATTGTTTTAGTGATGAAATATTCTATCTATAGACATTCTCAGGGGACAATTACCTTCTCACGTGTAGTCATAAAGTATTTGCATAAATTCATAGTCAATAGCGACAGAATGATTGTGTGACTGTTTTGAAATATGTGAGTGTATTAATATTACCACTTTTACCTCCAGCCTAAAAGGGGCTAAACATATGGATGTTTTGAATCCATGCCTAGTATGCGCTGTGCAACATTACTATCCTCTGCATAAGAACACGCATCCATTACAGGAAAATGGGACTACAACCGCACTTTGGGGGAACTCAAGAAATTGCAGTAGATCCTGGCTTAACAACTCACATCTTCTAAACTCTTGTTCATGGTCCACATAAACACAAAATCTGAATTAGATATATGTACCAATTTAATGTTCTCTTTGTACTTTAGGCCCAGCATGTATCAGGGTAACAAAATATTAAAGACACAAAAAGAAGGTGACAATCACATTGTTGCATTAAGCATATTCCTGAAATGGTTCTAGACATGATGACAACTGAAGTCCATCTACAGTTTGCAAGAAAATAAAGGCATTGCACATGTTTTCTGTAACGGAACACCTGGCACCCCGACTGGGTACCTTCTGTTGACGGATGCTCCTAGTGCCTTCCGAGGGCTCCAAGCACTCCACCAGACACCATAATCACCGCAGACCCCACAAACCGCTGCAGCTTGGTTGGGATCTCGTCGTCTTCCACCCACTCTGGACCCAAGACCAGGGTCCAGCTTCCAGTAGGTAGACCTCTCTTCAATCCAGAGAGCTTAGTGATTATACCCTGGGGAGTATAGTGATTATAGCAATACCCAGAGTGTAGTTCTCCATTCCCCCAAACATGTGCCGAAACTTCATGAAGGTACAAGATGATCTGTTTCATGGTGGCCACAGCTTGGCCTTTTATGAAGGTTCTGCAGCAGGGGTTTTACTACCACAGGGACCTTGTGGAGGACTGGAATACAATTACAGTAGCCAATCAAAATATAATACAACATGAAACACTCCCACAGAAACAGTAAACTCCCTCCCCTCTATCCTGGAGATAATTGTCTTCAGTGGCAGTAGGAAACTTAATTATCTCCAGGTACAGAAAATATCTCTAAGTTACAACTGCAACAAAACACATTAAAATACATAACTTATATTTCACAGAACTTAACCCCCACACTTGACATATCCCCAGATAGCTTGGATCTGAGTGCTCAATATATATCTGAACAGCGCTCAGATCCCACGAACATAGTGGAATCGCCATGGGGTTAAAGTGTTTTCACCGACCGTTCGGCAGAAATCTGTCCATAATTAGGTCCATGGCTTTTAGCTATCAGGGTCGCTCTATTTTCAATGCTTAGTTCCGTTCGAATGCACAAATGGCCCTCGTTCATGCAAATATCCAATGTTAAAGTGGCGTTCGAATTGTCAAACACTGTTCGACTCCAGTTGAAGCGTCGAAGTTCCAGAGAGGGTAAAGTTCAGCGGTGTTCGTGCCGTCGCGTGTCCGATTTGAGTTCCATGAACTTGATGACCAAACAGCGCTGAACGTGTTTGACTAAACAAGATGGCCCTGCTACATGTTCGACTATATGAACGGCAGCCACCCAGCCGTTCGCCAATTTGACTGCAGTTAACCAGAGCTCCTGGGAGGTAAATGAGCTGCACACTCCACTTGTGTGTGATCCAGCTGTTCGGTGGTTCGAAGTTCCACTTCGACCACTTCGAAAGTTTAAAGGGGCATTGTACCAAGTCCCAATATGCCCAAATAGTGTTCTTAAAGGGCAATACAACCCAGGAGCCATAGTCACAGGGCAAGAGGCTGGCAAACAGGCCTCTTCAAATTCCAGTGACGAAGGTGCTTTCGTCACAGTTTCCCATCACAAATCGCCTCTTTTCAGTCATCCTTTGTAACTTTTTGTTTATGTTTTCTTCTCATAGTTTACAAGTGCATACAAGGAGGGTTTAATTTATAGATAGTTCTATAATATCTGACATGAGCAGAATCATACCATACTGATTTAGTGAATCCAATTATATGCCAAACTGTCGAACCTATTATTTTTTTTTTATTATTATTCTTTCGTTCTTGTTCTTGTTTTTTTTCCTGTGCCAGATAAGTATTGGGATAGTCATTTTTATGCATACATTTACAGGAACAGGACTGCAGAAACCATGGATATGAGTTATGCTGTGGAGCATTCATTTTTCTTTTCTTTTTAATTTTCAAGAAAAACAGAGATCATTTAACATTTCTACAGGGAGAAAAACACAACATGAGGCTAATTCCTATGAAATGAACTTACTTTATGTTGCTGCCCACACTGTGTATTTAAATGAAGCAGAGTGCAGTATTGCCAGGAGTCCCCTGAAGCCCTTGTGCCATTATCAAGATAAGATAATTAAACTCTGTTAGAATGCTTTATCAACTTTCCTGGGTGCAGCTGGAAAATCAGGTACATATGGTCTTCTCCATAAGGTAAGGCAGTAAGGAGATGTAGAGAAAGCAATACGATCTGAGACAAAAGCTAGGAGGAAGTAAAAATTTACAAACAGTTAATAAATCAGACAGCAAGATACCTTAGTTGATGCTTAAGTGTTCAGGATTAGCAGTGATAAATTAAATGTCTATATTCTATGAGAATGAGGACTACCCAAAGAATACAAATCTATCCCACAAGTGAACTATATTATTCATGTAATAATCCCAACATTTTTTTTGCTTTGTTTTTTTTTTGGTTTGCAATAATGTGTCCTATATGCAATATATTATATGGGGTAAATACAGTAAGTGCATTTGCCTAGGTTTTTTTCCCTCGAGAATTCAAGTCTTTGGTTTTTAACCCCTTAACACCGGAGGGCGTACAATTACGCCCTATTTTAGGCGCCCTCTGGTCTTTTCTTACTTACCCGGTCGCCGGCGGTCCCACGCCGGCGATCGCGGTGGGGGGGACTCCCAGGGAGCCCCCCGCGGTAAATCCTCCTCCTCCGGTGCCCCCCGGCCATGTGAGAGTGGGGTCCTTGCGAGGACCCCTCAATCACATGGCCGGGTAGGCTGCCTCCTGCATTGCCAGCAGGGGGGCTGCCTGTAATGACAGGTGGTCCCCCTGCTGGCTGAAAATAAAATTAAAAGAGATTAAAAAGTGTAAAAAAAAAAGTATACTTAGATCATATATATATATATGATCTAAGTATATATATATAGACACATATACATACATACACATACACTGTCTAGGTGTATTTTACTATTAATATATATATAAAATTATATATATTAATATCAAATTACACGTAGACTGATACTGATTAAATATATATATATATATAATTATTGTTATATCTATATATATTTATATATAATATAAAAAAATTTAATATGTAAATACGTTAAAAAATAAAATTAAAAAAATACTTAAAAATATAATTAAAAAATATATAGATGTGTGTTATTTCGTTCTAACT